TTGTTATGTGCCAGCAAGACACCCACAACTCAAAGAGACCCTAGGTACAATAGCTCTGAACCCTGCCCTATCCTGAGCTCACTGACTCCAATACACCTAATCCAATTGCCTCAATTACGGTGTCAATCCACCTCATGTGGGGTTTTCCTCTCCTACGCTCTCCCTCCGCCCTTCCAAGCATGATGTCCTTCTCTAAGGACTGGTCCTTCTGTCCATGAGCCCAAATATTTGAGACAGAGCTTCAAAATCCTTGAGATAACAAAAATCATTAAAACAATTGGCAAAACAGATGCATTAGATATATGCCTAGATATATGCCAAGATATATGGTTCATGGAACCAAGAAGCAGAAGCTAAATAGACAAAGGTGTTCTCCCAGGGATGACAGAAAGCAAAAATCTTCCATGAAAGCTAGAGCTTTTAACTCTGACTTAAAGACTTGTGAATGGTGAACAAAAGAAGTATTTCTTAGAGCCACCACTATGGTATTTCTGTTACAGCCGATAATGAAGACAGTAAGTGCTGTACGGAGAAAAAAGGAGTCTTTTTTTAAGAAAGCAAAATGTCATCACACAGAGAAGGTAGAAAAGACCAAGATGGATTTCAGAGCAGACTCTGAAAACAGCACTAGAACACTGAGAAGCCAAAACAAATGGAAAAAATGACAAAGTGAAAGAGTTGAACAGAAGATTTCAAAGGGCAGCTCCTGAAGTGGAAAAAAAAAGTATGCTAATGAAATGTGCAAAGAGCTGGAGTCAGAACTGAAGAACATATTCAGGCCTGAAGTTTTAATACTTAAAGATGCTATGGATAATATAGTGAATAATCCAGAAAGCATCAAAACAAGAAGGAAAGAATATGGAGTTACTACCAAAATGAATTTGCTGATTCACAATCTTCTTAAGAAGCAGCATGTGATCAAGAACCAATAATAACAGAGGAAGTTCAAGCTTCTCTGAAGAAATTGGTAATAAATAAGGCCCCAGGAACAGAAGGAATATCAATTGAGATATTTCAACAAACAGACACTGACTATGCTCAACAGGTTGTGACAAGAAATCTGGAGGACAGCTACCTGACCAATTGACTGGAAGAGATCCATACTGATTCTCATTCTTAAAAAAAGGTAGTCTTACTGACAGGATAATATCCATATGCATACAAGGAAGACCTATTAATATCACTATCATTCAAATATACGCATCAACAACCAGGACCAAAGAGGAGGAAACCGATGACATCTATCAACTATTGCAGGTGGAAATCAATCGAACATGCAAACAAGAACCTTTGATAATAATAGGTAATTGGAATACAAAACCTGGGAACAGAGATGAAGGAGCAGTAGTCAGAAAGCATGGAGTTGGTAAGAGAAATGAGGTTGGAGACAGAATGATAGAATTCTGTGCAATCAATGACCACCTAGTCATTGCAAACACCTTTTATAAGAAACATAAACTATACACATGAACTTCCCCTGATGGCATACATAGGAATCAGGCTGACTACATCTGCAGAAGAAAAACACTGTAGAAGCTCAGTATTAGTTATGAAAACTAGACCAGGTGGTGACTGATGAACAGATTATCAACTACTCATATGCAAGTTCAACTGAAGCTAAAGAAAAGAAAAGAAAATCCACAAGAATCAAAGTTTGATCTGAGGTCTATCTTACCAGAATTTAAAGACTATCTTTATAGAACAAGTTTGAGGCCCTGAACACTAATGAGTGAAGACCAGACAAGTTGTTATGAGGATATCAGGAATATCACCCACAAAGAATGGAAAAGGTAATTACAAAGACAGAGGAAGAAAAGACCAAGATATATGTCAGAGATTTTGAATGCTGGACTAGAGAACTGAGAAGACAAAACAAAGGGAAGAAATCAAGAAATTAAGGATCTGAACAGAAGATTGCAAAGGACAGCTCGGCAAGACAAAGCATTATAACGAAATATGCAAAGGGTTGTTGTTATGCACAACAGCCCTAAATTTTGCTCTGTCCTGTGTCAATCACACTGTCTCTGACACACCCATCCCGATTATCCCAGTCACTGGATCAATCCACCTCACAGAGGGCCTTCCCCTCCTGCGCTGTCCCTCCACCCTCCCAAGCACGATGTCCCTCTCCAAGGACCGGTTCCTCCTTACAACATGTCCAAAGTATGTTAGACGAAGCCCTAGAATGCTTGCCTCCAAGGAGCCACCTGGTTTAACCCTTTTCAGGATGAATCTGTCTTCCTGGCAGTCCATGGTACTCTCAATACTCTTCTCCAGCACCACACCTAAAAGGCATCCATTCTCCTTCTATCCTCCCTGGTCATTGTCCAACTCTCTGATGCATAACAAGTGATAGCAAAGACCATGGCCTGTTTCAGACACACCTTAGTCTCCAGAGATACCATTGCTCTTCAGTACTTTGGAGAGGTCCATAACAGCAGACTTCCCCATGGCAATGCGCCTTTTAATTTCCTGGCTACTGGTGCCAAGAGTGTTGACTGTGGAGCCAAGCAAACTAAAGCTGTGAACAATCTCAAACTCTTCACCATCCATCCTGATGCTGCCAATTGGCCCAGTGGTGAGAATCTTTGTCTTCTTGACATTGAACCTCAATCCATATTGTAGGCTGCAGTCCTTGACCCTCTGCAGCAGGTGCTTCAGGTCCTCCTCAGTTTCAGCAAGGAGGGTTGTGTCATCTGCATAACGCAGATTGTTGATAAATCGTCCACCAATCTTGACCTACATTTCTCCTCATAGAGCCCAGCCTCCCGGATGATCTGTTCTGCATACAGGTTGAAAAGGTATGGAGACAGGATGCATCCCTGGCGTATGCCCTTCCCAATTTTGAACCATGCAGTGTTCCCTTGCTCTGTTCTGATGACTGCCTCTTGGTCCAAGTATAGGTTTCGCATTAGAACGATCAAGTGTTCTAGGATTTCCATTCTTCTCAGAGTCAACCACAGTTTGTTATGATCCACACAGTCAAACGCCTTTGCCTAGTCAATGAAACAGAGACAGACATTCCTCTGGTATTCTCTGCTTTCAGCTAAGATCCATCTAACATCAGCTATAATATCCCTAGTACCACGACCCCTTCTAACCCCAGCCTGGACTTCTACAGGAGGAGATTGTTCTTCCTTCTGCAGAAGAGCATTTGGTGGCTTCGAACCATACGCCTCTGGGATTGCAGTGCAGCTTCTTACCACGAGGCCATGAGAGCTCAATTAATAATGCAAAGAGTTACAGTCAGAAAATCAAAAAGGAAGAACTTGCTCAGTATTTCTTAAGCTGAAAGAACAAGTTGAAACACTGAGTTGCAATACTTAAGGATGCTGAGGGCAGAATGTTGAATGAACCTGAAAGCATCAAAAGTAGGAGTATACAGAGTCACTATACCAAAAAGAATTGGTTGACTCAGAAGAATTTAATGAAACAACACAGGATCAAGAGGCAGCGTTGATGCACACCCATGTTTATCGCTGCTTTGTTCACAATAGTAAGGAATTGGAAACAATCTAATTGCCCATCAACAAATGAATGGATAGAGAAGCTGTGGTATATTCACAAAATTGATGTTTATCATGGCTTTGTTCACAACAGCAAGTAATTGGAAACAACCTAAGTGCCCATCAGCAAATGAATGGATAGAGAAGCTGTAGTATATTCACACAACTGAATACTATGCTGCATTGAAAAACCAGGAATTCATGCAATATTATTCAAAATGGGTGACCCTGGAGGACATTATGTTAAGTGAAGTATCTCAGTCACAAAAGGACAAATACTGCATAGTGACACTGTTGTAAAACAGGATTGACATCAGGGTTGGGAGGAGACTGAGAAAGATGACATAAATAATGTATACTGCATTGAAACAGATGAGGGAGAAAACTGTTTAAAAGGGATATGTGAATAGGTATTTTTGTCACCACAGGAGTCCAGAATGAAGGCTGCATAGAGGAGTGGACCTGGGAGGGAGGGACTGTGAAACAAGGAAAGAATTTTTCTTTTACTTTTCAAAGAGAAGAGTGTACTGGGGGGAGGTGTGAGCAAGGAGAAAATTTCAACAATGAATGAATGGAAATCCAAAGTTTGTAAATTTTCATTAAAATTAATAATAAAAAAAGAAAAGTAAAAAAAAAGGCAGTGGTGATGGAGGAGGAAGTTCGAGCTGCTCAGAAGGAATCAGTGGAATTGATGGCATACCTATTGACATATTTCAACAGACAGATGCTGTCCTGGATGCACTCATCCAGTTGTGCCAAAAAACCTGGAGGATAAATACCTTGCCAATTGACTGGAAGAGATCTATATTTATTCTCATTCCAAACAAAAAGGTAGCCCAACAGAGTGTGGAAATTATCAAACTTTATCACTAATATCACACACAAGCAAAATCCTGCTGAAGATTATCCATAAAACAACTGAAACAGAACTTCCAAACATGGAAGCTGAGTTCAGAAGAGGGCCTGGCACTAGACACACTATAGTTAACATTAGATGGATCTTGGCTGAAAGCAGAATATGAGAGGAATGTCTGTGTTTCACTGACTATGCAAAGATATTTGTGTGGATCACAACAAATTTTGGCTAATCTTGAAAAGGATAGGATTCCCAGAACACATAACAATGCTCCTATGAAACCCATACTTGGACAAAGAAGCAGTAGTCAGCAGAGCAGATCATTCAGGAGACTGGAATTTATGAGGAGAAATGTGACATCAGGATTTGAGGAAGACTCATCCACAACCTGCACTATGCAGATGACACAATGTTGCTTGCTGAATCTAAGGAAGACCTGAAGTGTCTGCTGCAGAAGGTCAAGGACTGCAGTCTTCAATATGGGCTGCATTTCAACATCAAGAAAACAATTATTCTCACCAGTGGGCCAACTGACAGCATCATGATAGAATAAATCTAGGGAAGAAATGAAATCAATCTCTAAACAGCTTATCGGGAGATAAAAATTTCTACATTAATAAAATTTAACAATCAAGTACCTGGAGGAAATCCTCCACCAAAGAACATATTAAACAAATCTTCTGGAGTTATATCTGCTTCACAACCTCGATGGAAGTTAAATCTGCCATTGCTTTGGTGATTACAACCTTGTTCTTCATTGCCTGTGAGGTCATATTGTTTTCGTTTTTCTGGATTGCTTAAAACAGCATATGCATTCCCAATCTCTGGAAAAAAAAAAGGGTAAAGATTGGTAAGTAAAGCTTTTACACTGTAAAAGACTGACTCATGTAAAAGATCTATCATGTAGACATTAAAAAACTAATAATTATATATATTAGTAACTCAAAATACATTTTTATTATTTTAAAACTAGATAAATATGTCTCCTTTACAGCCTTAAAAATAAAGTCATGTACATCTGTATTTCTTAATATTGTGAGTAATGCTTTTAGTGGAATGTGTTTTCTCCATTTTCTAACTAACATTTTTTTTGGGTGTTGAATTCTGGGCGTTCTTTGTATTTTCTAGATACTAGTCTTTTTGTCATTTTTCTTCTGCTGATGGATTTGAACCACATACATTTGGGGTGGCATCATAACTCCTGACCACTGAACCATCAGAACTCTATGCAAGTTTAAACAGAAGCTGAAGAAAATAAAAAGTGCAAAAGAACCAAAGTAATACTTTCAGCCTAGCCCACCCAAATTTAAAAATATTCTTCAGAATAAGTTTGAGGCTTTGAACACTAATGATCAAAGATCAGATGAGTTATGTACATGATGACATGAAAGGCATCATCCAGGAAGAGAGTTTAAAAAGTAGTTACAAAGACAAAGGAAGAAGAAAAGACCAAAATGGATGTCAGAAGAGAGTCTGAAAATGGCACTAGAGCATTGAGAAGCCAAAATAAAGAGAAGAGATGCTGAAGTAAAAGAGCTGCAAAGAAAATTTCAAAGGGAAGCTTGAAGAACAAAACATTATAACAAAATGTACAAAAAGCTAAGAGAAGACTCTTAGAAGACTAAGAGAAGAACTCACTGAAGATTTCTCAAGTTGAAAGAAAACAAATTCAAGTCCTGAGATGCAATACAGAGACACAGTTGGGAAAAATCTTGAAGTCTAGGAAGCATCAAAAGACTATGTATGCAATGCATGGAGTCACCATAGTAAAAAGAATTGGTTGACACTGAAAAATTTCAGGAAGTACCTTATGAACAAGAGCCAATACTAATAAAGGAAGAAGTTCAAACTGCACTGAAGGCAATGGCAAAAATAAGGCCCTAGGAACTGGTGAGATACCAAGTAATATGTTTCAACTAACGGATCCAGGCCTAGATGTGCTAAGCAGTCTATGCCAGGAAATTTGGTAGTCTGCTACTTGGACCACTGACTGGAAGAGATCCATATTTGTTCTTATTCCTAGGAAAGGTGATCCAATAGAATGTGGAAAATAAGGAACAGTATGATTAACAACACATGTAAGGAAAATACTGCTGAAGATCATTAAAAAATGGCTAGAATACTACTGACAGACATCTGACAGAAGTTCAAGCAGGGATTAGAAGAGGCTGTAGCACTACATATATCACTGCTGATGTCAGATGGATCCTGGCTGAAAACAGAGAATACCAGAAGAATGTCTATTTGTGCTTTACTGAATACGCAAAGGCATTTGCCTATGTGGATCATAGCAAATTATGGCTAACACTGAGAAGAATGGAAACTCTAGAACACTTAAATTATGCTCATATGAAACTTATATCTAGACCAAGAAGCTGTTGCTTGAACAGAGCAAGGGAACACTGCAAGGTTTAAAATCAGGAAAGATTTATGTGAGGATTGTATCCTTACTCCATATCTATTTAATCTGGATGCTGAGAAAAGTCATTTGAGAAGCCAGACTCTAAGAAGTATGTGGCTTCAGGAACAGATGATGATTTATCAACAACTTACATTATGCAGATGACCAACTTTGCTTGCTGAATGAGGACTTGAAATGCTTGGTACAGAAGATCAAAGACTCGTGTGTGCCGTCAAGTTGCTTGTGACTCATAGCGACCGAATGTACAAGATCCCGGAACCCTGCCCTATCCTGTGCCAAACTTATTGTCTTTGATACACTTACCCCATTGCCCCAGTTACTCAATCAATCCATCTTATCAAAGGTCTTCCTCTCTTGTACTGTCCCTGTAACCTCGCCAGCATGATGTTCTCTCTTGCAACATTCCCCAAGTATGTCAAGACAAAGCTTCAGAATCTTTACCTCCAAGGAGCAGCCTGATTTCACCCTCTCTAGGTCGAATCTGTTATTTCTCCTAGCCATCCATGATATTTTCAACACTCTTCTACAGCACCACAGCTCAAAAGTATCAATTCTCCTTCTATCATCCCTAGTCATTGTCCAGCTTTCTAACACATAGCAAGTAATTGCAAAGACCATGGCCTGTATCAGGTGCATCTTAGTATCCAGACTGACATCAGTGCTCTTCAGTACTTTGGAGAGGTCTCTGACAGCAGACTTTCCCAATGCAATTCGGCTTTTAACTTCCCAGCTGCTGATACCAAAAGTGTTGATTGTGGAGCCAAACAAACTGAAACTTAACAATCTCAATATCTTCACCATCCATCATGATGCTGCCAATTGGCCCAGTGGAGAGAATCTTTGCTGTCTTGATGTTGAGCCCTCAATTCATATTGTTCAACAATTTCAGCACTGTTGGGTCACCTTTCTTTGGAATGGGACCAAATATAGATCTCTTCTAATCAGATGGTTGTCCTCCAGATTTCTTGGCACAACTCAGTGAGTGCATCCAGGGCAGCATCTGTTTGTTGATATATGTCAACTGGTATGTCGTTAATTCCTGGGGCCTTGTTTTTTGCCAATTCTTTCAGAGTAGTTTAAACATCTTCCTTCTTCACCACAGACTACAGTCTTTAAAATGGATTGCATCTCAACACCAAGAAAAGAAAAATTTAAAAAAAAGAAAAGACAAATTCTCACCACTGAACTGATAAGTAACATCATGGTAGATAAAGATGATACTGAAATTGTTAATGATTTCATCTTACTTGGATCCACAATCAACACTCTCAGTACCTGCACTCCGAAGATCAGGAGATGTATTGCACTGGGAAAGTCTGCTCTCAGGGACTCCTCCAAATTACTAAGCAATGATGTCATTTAGAATACTAAGGTGTGCCTGATTTAGGCATGGTCTTTTCAATCACTTGCTATGTGTCTGAGAGCTGGACAGTGAATAAGGATGACAGGAAACAAATTGAACTCTTTGAGTTGTAATGTTGGAGAAGAGCGCTGAATACTCCCATGGACTTCCAAAAGAAAAATCAAATATGTCTTGGGAAAGTGCAGAGAGAGTGCCCCTTGGAGGCAAGGATGGCAAACTTCCTCTCATATATTTTGGGCATGTTGCTATAAGAAGTTCGCTTGGAAAGGGACACCATGCTTGGAAAGGAAAAGATCAGTGAGAGAGGAAACCCTTAATGAAATGGATATACTGTGGCAAAGGGCTTGAGTGTGACAGAGATAAGGAGGATGGCACAGAAGAGGACACAGTATATAGATCTCTTGTTCACAGGGTTGCTATGAGTCGTACTTGACAGCATTTTAACAACAACAATCTTTTGTCAGATATGTGACTGGAGATAATCTGTCTCATCCTCTTAACTATGTCTTTCAAAAAGAAAATTTTTATTTTAGTATATTTAGAAAAATTATTTTAAGAATCCTATTTTTGGTATCATGTCTAAGATGACGTCGATTGGTTAATATAATATTTTTGCTTAGCACTAAAATGTTTGATCTAACAGTCACATTTGTGAAATCTTTTGACTTAACTTTTCTATGAAGTTCAAGATTTAGGTAAAGGTTAAAAACTTATCTGCAGAGCGTCAAGGACTGCAGCCTACAATATGGATTGAGGCTCAATGTCAAGAAGACAAAGATTCTCACCACTGGACCAATTGGCAGCATCAGGATGGATGGTGAAG